TGCTTGAGCCCAGGAGTTTGAGGTTGCTGTGAGCTAGGCTGACGCCACAGCACTCTAGCCCGGGCAACAGAGTGAGACTCTGTCTCAAAAAAAAAACAAAAAAACATGTAATCAATATAAGAATGATTAATGTTTTACTTTTTTTGACTAAATTTTGAAATCCAATGTGTATTTTACACTCACCCCAGATTTCAAAATGTCGGACTCACCACATTTCAGCGTCTCAATAGCCATACGTGGCTAGTGGTCACTGTGTTCAACAGTGCAGTGCTAGTACCTTCTTAAATAATACCTAATGTCAAACTCTTATGTATAGATTACTTTTTATATTCCTTATTTTAACCCTAGCGTTTATTCAACCTTTTTTTAAAAGCTAATTATATGCTAAGTTCAAATCTAATGCTTTGAGTAATCAAAAGCAGACCTGTTTTAGCTGGAGTAACAGGAATTATGGATAGAGATATATTAAGGTCATTTTAGACAGCAAATCTAGAGCAGAACTTAGAGCACAGCTTCACTAAAGCTGAGTTTCATGCAAGATAGGGTCTAATCCCACACAGGGATCACTAAAAGATGATTATTAAGAAAAAGTCATTAATTTTAGCCATGAGGAAATTTTAGTAGAGTGATAAATGGATTAATGAGGTTGTAGGAAACAAGGAGAGAATCTCCTGTGAGACAGTGAAAATGAGGGGGTGTAACCAGTACCCCTGGTTGAGGAAAGCTTAGATTTATTTATTTATTTTTTTTTTGAGACAGAGTCTCACTCTGTTGCCCTGGCTAGAGTGAGTGCCAGTGCCGTGGTGTCATCCTCGCTCACAGCAACCTCACACTCCTGGGCTCAAGCGATCCTTCTGTCTCAGCCTCCCGAGTAGCTGGGACTACAGGCATGCGCCACCACGCCCTGCTAATTTTTTCTATATATTTTTAGTTGTCCAGATAATTTCTTTCTAATTTTAGTAGAGATGGGGTCTCGCTCTTGCTCAGGCTGGTCTAGAACTCCTGAGCTCAAACGATCCGCCCACCTCGGCCTCCCAGAGTGCTAGGATTACAGGCATGAGCCACCACGCCCAGCCTAGATTTATTTTTAATTTATAGGCATCTGAGTAGTTTTGTGTAGGAGGGATCCCGTGAAAGAACAGGAAGTTAAAGATGAAAGAATACAGGAGGAAGAAGGAAAAGATTGAAATGAAAACATGAGTAAAATGGAAATTAGAGAAAAAAGGAGAGGAATTACATATTAAACTTTTAGATATAATTTTACTTTATTTTTAATACTGATATATGGATATAATCTCTTGTGATAATTTTTATGTTCATACTTTTTCTGAAATGTTAGATTTGTTTTTCTTGAATTCCATTTAATTATGTTTTAATCCTTAACTTAGAAGTTACCAGCTTGCAAACATTTGCTATTCCAGGCTCTATATTTCTCAGTATACTCTCAGGATTTCTTTATCCCTTTCCACTAGCCTTATTTCTTGTTTGCTTGGTAAGTATATAAAATTAAATTGGGAGACTGGAAAAAGTTTTAAATAGGATGAGGAGGATAATGATGGTATCTTAATCCCATTAGTCTATATAAGCATGAACTTATTAGTTGAAGAGGAGTTAAAGTGATTATGTGTTAAGTCCCTTCATAAGGAGGTATTATAGTTTGTTTTTTTCTAGAATAGTGGTATTATAGAGTTAGTTGCATTTATAAGCTCTGTTTTAGTTTTTCTTTCCTATTGTTTTTAACTGGGGTAGTCCGAGAGTGTTGGTGGGCCCAGTTGTTTTTAAGCATAGCAATTGAAAAGAAAAAAAATGGCTCCTGAAATTTTATTCTTAGGCTAAAGGCTAACATTAATTATTTGGGTATAGTCACTAACTTTAATCACAAGTGCTAATTTGTTTTAGCTGGTCTCATTTGAGCTACGGTTTGGTCTTAGACTATATTAAATGGATTCTTGTTCTCTGCATGAGAGATGTCATGCAGAGTAGCCTCCCCACCCCCAAAAGAAGTAAACTAGTTGAGCTTTTCCTTAGGTGACTATCCATGTGAATAAGACGGAAAAACACAAAATGCTTATGGCTTCTTGTTGCTTTCTAGTGTTCTGGACTCGGTGCCTCTTTCTGCTATATGCTCTCCTATTTAGTTGGGAGACCAGTTGTGTATAAATACCTAACAGAGAAAGCAGTAAAATGGTCACAGCAGGTAAACACATATTTTTAAATTATTTAATGTAACTCTTTGGTTAATTCAGTCGTAGATCAGTGTATAGTCCCTATATAAATTAACTCAGGTAAAAAAAAAAAATATTTTGACCAAAATAACATCAAGTGGGGCCGGGTGCGGTGGCTCACGCCTGTAATCCTAGCTCTCTGGGAGGCCGAGGTGGGTGGATCGCTCAAGGTCAGGAGTTCGAGACCAGCCTGAGCAAGAGAGAGACCCCATCTCTACTAAAAATAGAAAGAAATTAATTGGACAACTAAAAATATACAGAAAAAAGTAGCCAGGCATGGTGGTGCATGCCTGTAGTCCCAGCTACTCGGGAGGCTGAGGCAGGAGGATTGCTTGAGCCCAGGAGTTTGAGGTTGCTGTGAGCTAAGATGACACCACGGCACTCTAGCCCAGGCAACACAGACTCTGTCTCAAAAAAAAGAAAAAAAAAAAACAAGTGGTAGGCAAATATGAATGTTAATAATTTCAAATACAAATTTCTCATACCTGCGATTGTAATTTTAATTCTTTATCCTAATAAGTTCACTCAGCAGAAAAGAAAGGTCAGTATAAAGGCCTCCACATAATTGATCACCTCATCCATTTTGTGTTGCTGCATCATGCTGTCAATGGGTCACTGAAAAACTTATCAGCCAACTCCCAATGCATTTCATCAGTGAGAACAACTGTTATCATCAGGATCTCTGCAAAGAATAGCAATGATAAATATAAGCACTACTACACAGAAAGGACTGACATAGTATTGCTAAAGGAATCCTATTTTTATAAAGAATCAGAATAAACAAACTGGTAAATCTCACAGGAATTTTAGAGATCATCCTGCCTTACCCCTTTGTTTTACAGATTAGGAAATTAAATTAAGTATTTTGCCCTAAATCTTGAGCATTTACTGTAGAGCAAGGTCTAGAATGTCAGATCTCTAGTCTAGCGTTCTTCTCATCATACCACATATGTACTGAATATTAGAATAGTTCTACATGTGTTTCTTTGGCATAGCCGTTTTCTGTAAGCTTATTCAAAGGAAGTATAAACTGTCATAAGTGCTTATATTTAATCAGCTAAATATTTCCATATACTTGTTCAAATTCATTTATCAATGATGAATTCAATCGTGATATACATTGCAATAGCATAAAGTAAAGATTATTTTAAATTGAGGGCTAGATTTGTTGTGATATAATAGTCCATTACATTGTAGGAAGTTAAAGGCATTAAAAAGTTGGCCAAGAGCTGGTTGCAGTGGCGTGTTCCTGTAGTCCCAGCTACTCCAGAGGCTGAGCCAGGAGGATCACTTGAACCCAGGAGTTCGAGGCTATAGTATACAATGATGATACCTGTGAATAGCCACAGCACTCCAACCTGGGCAACATAGTGAGACCCCATCTCTAAAATAAAAAAAATAAAAGTTGGCCACTGAAACTATATCTTGTATCTAGTTATCTATATAAGTTTAATTTTGGCATTTTAGGTTTAATATTTCATCCCTGAGCCATCATTAGGCTAATGTAGAGAACCATCTTTAGTAGTACAACATTAAGCTATAAAAAACTCACATCAGGCCAGGCGAGATGCCTCAAGCCTGTAATCCTAGCACTCTGGGAGGCCAAGGCAGGAGGATTGCTTGCGCTCAGGAGTTTGAGACAAGCCTGAGCAAGAGTGAGACCCTGTCTTTACTAAAATAAAATAGAAAAATTAGCCAGGCATGGTGGTATGTGCCTGTAGTCCCAGGTATTCAGGAGGCTGAGGCAGGAGGATCACTTGAGCCCAGGAGTTTGAAGTTGCAGTGAGCTACAATGATGCCACTGTACACTACCTGGGGCGATAGAGTGAGACTGTTTCGAAATAAACCAAAAAAAAAAAAAAAAAGCCTCATTTAGCTTTGCTAATGAGCATTTGATAAACAGTTCATTGTCATTTTCAAACTCCTTTTTTGATCATTTCTATTGGATAAATTCTGACAATCAGGTATGAGAATTTGAAATAAGGTATTTCATATTAAGCAACTTATTTTAAAGATTGGCCTTATCTGATGCTAATTCTTTTCTTTTTTATAACAGGTTGAACGTCATAGAGAACATCTCATTAACTACATTATATTTTTGAGAATAACACCATTTCTGCCTAATTGGTTTATTAATATCACATCTCCTGTGATAAATGTGCCATTGAAAGTTTTTTTTATTGGCACCTTTCTAGGTAAGACCTCTGGTTCCTGCTGTATTAGAGCTCACTGTGTACATATCTAACAGTGTCAGGATTCGATTGCATGCTCTCTGCAGACATGCCAGCATCACCTAGAACTCTTGGTCACAAAGCCTGGCCTGTATAAAATAGATGCTGAGAAATGTTTGTTAGATTGTGTTGATGTAGGTTACTTTTGTGTTACCTTTTTAAAGAAGAGCACTTTCTCCTGGATATTGTTTTAATTATACAGGGTTAAACAAGACTTTAGCTCCAGTCTCCTCAGTGGAGAGAAAAAAAATCAAGTCGCCTTTTTTGAATAATTTTCTCTTTTGTCTTCTAATCAAGTATTGAAATATTAAAATTTAATTTCAACAAATATTCTTGCTTTCAAGGAACCGACTTTATTTATATTTTTGAGACAGTCTTACTCTGTTGCCTGGGCTAGAGTGCCGTGGTGTCAGCCCAGCTCACGGCAACCTCAACCTCCTGGCCTCATGTGATCTTCCTGCCTCAGCCTCCTGAGCAGCTGGATTCACAGGCACGCACCACCACACCTGGCTAATTTTTTCTATTTTTAGTAGAGAAGGGGGTCTCTTTCTTGCTCAGGCTGGTCTCGAACTCCTTGAGGTCAAGCAATCCTCCCGCCTTGGCCTCCCAGAGTGCTAGGATTAGAGGCATGAGCCACCACACCTGGCCAAGGAACTGACTCTTAATTTTGAAATTTAATCAGTGGATGTGAAGATTAACTTATATTTTCTGTGAATTTTCATGGTTCTTAGAGTGTTCTGTACTTCTTTCCAATTTAAATTGAATTTTTCAGATACCAACAACATGAGCAGATTTCTGATGTATTGAATATCTATTAAAGCTTAAGTTAATACTTGTGAGAATAGATCTTTTTGAAAAGAATAATCAAAATCAATTGTTTATTGCTACTGCAAATAATTTTTGTTGACAATTTCATCAGCATGGGTAATTTTGAATTTTGTAAAATATTAATGGAATCAAAAGAGATTTTTGTGCCTATCCCTTTTTTTTTTTAAGGTGAAGTAGAGATTTAGTTAACTTCAGCTTTGGCTAAAGTAATTTTTTCAAACTTTTTTTTTAATGAAATATCATTCTGTGTGTGCCCTTGTATAAACTGTTCTTCTTACTAATATTTTGAATATCTTTCCATGTTAGTGTATCTCCTACCACTTCACTTTTATTTTAAATGTATTCTTTTTTTTTCCCCCTCTAGGGGCTCAGTGTCTGTAGATATTTTAAGTATATTCTATCAAGGATAAGTGATAACCTACTTAACCTTACTTACAGTTGGGCATTTAGGTTATTCCTAGATTTTCATTATAAAGCTTTGATAAACATCCTTGAAACTAGATATTTGCTCATATACGTTATTATTTTCCAAAGTTGAGATTGCTGGATCAGAGCACATTCTTTTTTTTCTTCAAGGTTGTTGATAAATGTTATAAAATTATTCTCTGGATACTTTTCTTGGGTTTTTTAATTCATTATGAAAGATTGAATTCTTTATTTGGAAATAAACTTGATGAGCTTTAAATTCTTAATTTTTTTTTCCAAAATGAAAGTCTGTATTCTTTTACATAATTTTATATGCACAAAAAGTTTTAATTTTTAAAAATAATCGGTGGTTTTTACTGTTTTTGTTTGTTTTTTAGGTGTCGCACCTCCCTCTTTTGTGGCAATTAAGGCAGGAACAACACTGTACCAGCTTACAACAGCAGGGGAAGCTGTTTCCTGGAACTCAGTATTTATTCTCATGATTTTGGCTGTTCTTTCTATTCTGCCAGCTATCTTCCAAAAGAAACTAAAGCAGAAATTTGAGTAAAAAAAAAAAAAATCTGATTTTTAGTTTTGATATCATCATCATCTCAGGATTAGCAGGTGCATCCATTTATGTTTTAAAATCACCTCTTCAATAATCGAAACAAGGAATTTGTGAAATAAAATTTCCTATCAGATAATAAAATAATACATTTAAATGGCAAGGGGGAGGAGTAAAAATG